CTGGTCCCATGAAACCCTGTTATAGTGCTGAGGTTTATTAAATACGGTTTTCTGTGGGTGAGCAGATGGCAGCTACTGTGTGGCATATGTTCTGTATCACAAACTAAAGCTGATGTGGTCTTTCCAATGCAATTTTCTGAATCAGCACCTCAAATAACCAAACCAAATCTAAAGTTGACTAAAAACTGATTTGTAACCCTTTTGGTACTAACGTTGGAGAGTGGTCCCTGGTCAGAAAAAGATTGGGAACCACTCCTTTGGATTATGGTCGTATTCATGCTTTCAAGATTTTAGATATATGTAATCCTAGTTTAAGTGCAACAACCCACGGATTACAGTTTCTTGCTTTTGCCTTAAGTGATTATTCCTATTCAGAGTTGGTTCTTGCTTGTTGTTGAGCTTTTGGAAATCTAGCTCATGGGTTTTGGAACTGTTTTTATATCAGATACCCTTTTCTTAATAAACTTATTATTCTTGTTCACGTGTGTGGTGTTTGGCTGAAAAAGGGTTCAAGTAGGTGGCTGGGCTGCAACATGGATTATCCTGTCTGAGAAACAACCAGGGAACGTCTATTAAGAGAAAGTCAATGCCAATCTCAAAAGGTAGACATCTGGAGGAATGTGATAAATAGAGGGACCAGGGATCATTCTGTGCATTTGGAGCTATAGAAGCTCTCTTCCCTATCAGTGATGACAAGGAACAAGGAAAAACAAATAAGCCACTGGGGCAGGATGTGGTAGGGGGCTATCATTTTAGATGTCTCTATAGTAGGCACAGACACGCTATTGGAAGTGTAGATCTTCATTATGTGGCTGCCTGTTTTGGGATGGGAATCTTGGCTTCCCACCCCAAACTTCAGGCCTGTATTTTCATCTCATGCTGGGCTGCATATTGGGCTCATCCTGGAAGAGGCTGTTTGCTTTGCTGCCACAGAGGGTGCCATTTTATACAATGTTTGAGAGGGCTTGGCAGGTCCTGCTTGGCAGGCTCATAGTCTAGCCCCCTGAAAGGCTCTGAAGTTAAGCAGTCACACTCTCTCAGCCATAGGATAAGGTACACACATTCAGGTTAAAAATAAATCTTCATTATACTGTATTCATTATGGTGAATATCCTGACAGTGTCTTTTAGGGATCTGCTTTTGTCTTATGCCAAACCCCATCCCTTTGGGGGATTGTAATCCCAAAAACCTCTATAAGAAAAACTTAAGTTTAAATACACTTTAAGATGTTTCCAGGTATGTAACAACTGTCATCATTTTTTGCTTGCTTTTAAAGTTTATACTTTAATTTTTCCTAAACTATCAAATAATTTTTGAATAATTAGGTACCAGATTAAAGGTATTTTATGGATTTTCTAAAACTTTGGTAATATATATGGGTCATTGATCTTGATTTTTAGATATGCCAAGGTAAAGTGTGTGTGTGTGGATATATATAGGTTGTTTTCAACTCTTAAATGTTTTAAAACATACATAAGAAGCACAATGGGGCAAGAAAGACTGACTGGACTTGCACTCTTGAGTGTCCACTGAGGTTTACCGATGGAGCCTGATTTCTGCCAAAGTGTATTGACACAGTTTTCAAGTGTTTCTAATTGATGTTGCGGTATTCTTTTGTAACTATAAATTATGAATCAATAGTCATTTTTAGTTATTTTAAGACCTGAGACTTTGTAACTAAAATAGAAAAGTGATTTAATCAAGTCTATATAAAAATATAGAATGAACCATACTATTTAAATTATTTTGTGTTATGGAACTACTCTTCATGATTCACTAAGAACCCCCTCTCCCCCAAAAAAATTCTGCCTATGGCCCTGCTTGCACCATTGTGTATATAAGGAATACATCTGTACATAATTCAATATTTCCACATTTCAAAATTAATAATTATCAATCAACCAGAATAAAAGCAATGTTAAGTTAAAATATGTTTAATTTTACATCCTTTAGGTTTAGCTTGCATTAGGAGAAAATATGGAGAATCGTATCCATACAACTAAAGCCTTTTTTGTTTCTGTAAGAGCCAGGTTTCATATAAAATTTTAAACCCGTCAGATAGAATTTTGAGAAAGCTGCTTTAACTGATATGAAAAGGAAGGCTGGTTGCTCATGTACTTTGACTTCACAAACAGAAAAGCTGTTAGACATAGCAGATAAATTGCTAGATGCCAGGATAGTTGGCATACAACATCTATGAGTTTACTTTACCTGTCACATGAAGCATCCATTACTAGTCATCTATCTGACCAAAAACTACCCTACAGGCGCAACATCTTTGACATGACAGCACTCTTAACAATTCATGTAAACATCTCTCTTCCAAGTGATTTTTGTATTTTATTTTCTATATAGTAGTTGGTAGTAGCATAGCATGACAGCAGGGGAGCTCAAAAATGCTTCTTTTAAAAAACTATTTTTATATCCATTTTGAGAAAATTACATGCAACTAAAATCAGCTACCTCTTTTAGCCATGTGATTTTACTATTTATACTAGTTTTAATGTTTTAACTTAATTTTTAAATGTTGTTTACGCCTTATGTTTAATGGTTTTAATTATTTTAATTTATAGTTATATGTTAGTGTTTAGTTAGTATGATTTTTTTCCTTTCTACATGTATGTTGCCATTGATTTTATGTCATTCATATGTTGTAAACCGCTTTGAGTGCCCCCAGGAGTGAGAAAGGTGGTATGTAAATAGAGCAAATAAATAAATAAAGAGTGGCATTATGATATTTGGGGGGAAGTGGGAATATACCAACCCAAGAGGTCCAGGGTGGCACTTCTTGGTTCATTTTCATGTCTTTTGGCCTTACCAATTTGCTTTCTGTAAAACACTCCATTTATTACACTATGTGGCATAAGCAGTTTGCTGTTAGGGGCTCAGGCTTTACCTCTCCTTTTTAATTGAATTCCTTGGGAATATGGTTTATAGTTCTGCTCAACATACCGTATATTCCGGCATATAAGACGACTGGGCGTATAAGATTACCCCCAACTTTTCCAGTTAAAATATAGAGTTAAGACGACTCCCATGCATAAGACTACACCCACGTATAAGATGACCCCTGACTTATGAGAAGATTTTCTTGGGTTAAAAAGTAGTCTTATATGCCAGAATATACTGTATTTCAAAATGGTTATTAAGGAGGTGATTTTTTTATTAAAAAAAAATACTCCAGGACTAGAGTAACTTCCATGTGAGCAAAGGTGTACAAAAATGAACCCAAATATGGGGGTGAGGGGGGGACACCCCTTGAACACATATTGACAAGAAAACCCCATAATAAGTTTGCTTCAGGGTTACTGTAAGTTAGAAATGAGTTGAAGGCCCCTATAGCAACAACAAAAAGCCCACTTTACAGAATTAAATCCCTAAAGCAAAAGGAAGAACTGAAAATCTCTAGCCTTTGCCTTTTGAGAAAAGCAATATACCAACAAAATAATTCGCAGAATTCCAAATGTGGGCTGAAAACAGATCTATTGCTTGATAAAAAAGAAAGAAGGAGGACAAAAACCAGAAGAATACAGAGCCCCCAGTGCACCAATTTCTCCTAAAAAGACAATTTACCTAGTTTGTAAGCAATCTACCTCATTTACTATGAAATCCATGACTACTTCCACGACTGCCTACCCTTTTTCTGCACCAAAGGATATGACTCCAGTATAACACAGTAAGATATAAACTGGCCTAGCATCTTGGAATCCAAGTTCAGAGGCTTCCAATGACTTTGTAAACACTCAGCTGCTGACTACTTTATGTGTTGCTAAAGTAAGCCAATAGCAACCAGAGGAGAGCCTATGTACCCTTGGCAACAAAACCTCATTATTATGTCAAAGTATGGCACACAGAAATATAAATGAGAAGGACAAGCAGAGAGAGTTTAAGAGACTGTTAATAAGAAGAGTAAAGCTGGACCATCAGGAAGGTCCAATAACTGTCAACTTAGTATATTTTACCACCAAGTAGTTCCCATGCCAGAAACTGGAGAAATTGGGAAGGTGAGAAGGTCAATCAAACTATCCATGGCTTTACTAAAGATTGTACTCATCTATGTATCTTTATTATGGGGATATACATCTTCATTTATTTTTTTCTAATGTAAAAGAATGAATAATTTAAAACAATCTCTCTGATTGGTGACATTATGTGGTTTGGCACAATTTTTGGATTACTTTTTCTGCTTTAAGGTATCTTTACAAAAAGAAATATTTTATACAAAAACCATTTGTGTGCATGAAAAAAATGTTGCTCAAAATGTTCTGTGGAGAATACCACATATTTGTGTGCAGAACAACATTTTTCATGCAAACTATTTTTCCATTAAAAAGGTTCTACAATACCAAACAAAAACAAAACACATAAAAAACACCTCACATTTTTGAGATGCATTTTCTAATCCAGGATGGTACAATTCAGAATCCTTCTTTATAGCTCACCGATTTTTGTCAAAATCATAAAATTTACTTTAGAATAAAAGAGAGGAGTTATTTTTTATTCCTGTTTAACTATTATAATACAAATTATTTTTTGAAATAGTTCATTAAAATTGAGTTTTAGAACACAAGGTAATACCAGACATCTATAAACAAACAATTTAAGTAAGAACAATATACTTCTTTCTCAGTGGCATATAAATGTCATATCGCATGTTTTCTTTAAAAATGCAACAATAGGTGTAAAAAAAGGTTCAGTATGTATAATCTATACCCTACTTTTAAGAAATAAGTCTTTTTAGTAATTTCTGCTCCAGCATCTCACAACAGTCACATCATTTGAATATAAACAAACCAAAAAAAGTTGTTTCTTAATGTTGTTTTTAAGTAATCTAAAGCTTTTGTAGAATAAATTTTTAAAATAACAGAAATCCATATGGTTATTAGTTATGGTTTCATTTGGCCAAAGTACAAGAGAAATAAACAATCTGTTTAACTATGTAGCCTTAATAATATGTGTAAGGTGTTCCACTATTTCTCCCAGTCAGGTTATTTACTTACTGCTTTATACGTTCTTTTTTGTCCAGCGTGTTTCCTAATTTGTTCTCCATTGGGCCCTGTTTCCACATGCATGGAGTAGATTATGTCAAAGAAATCTTCAACAACAGCTACCTGTCTTAAAGACAGCTTCTCATCTACGCCAACTCCATCCTAAGAAAAAATGACAGGGAACAGAAAATGAATAGGTAAACAACCAGGAAACACATATCCTGTTAATTAGAGCTGATTAGATAGTGACATCTGAAAATCACTAACTCACAGTGATATCCAGCAACTCAATTTCACAACAAAACTAGAATGTTTAGAATATGATTCAGAGTGTATTATATTTGAAGCAGAGAGTTTGGATTATTTTAGAGTTCATATTCATAATCATTCCTTGTTATTTAAAACATTAAAACATTCCCAATACTTTGTTTATTTTGCATCAAAATGGCATTTAAAAGTATCAGGCAACTTCTGCAATTGAAGTGGATTGGAACACACACTCCCAAGCACGCCAATTTTGTTCAGTGAATTTTTTTGCATGAAAAGTTGGGACAGTGCCCAAACATACCATTAGTCACTAAAGTTGTTCGCATAAGGATAAGAATATTGGATCATGTCCTACAATGGAACATTTTCTAATGCATGCATAATTATGAAGAAAGAATGCAAGATTTGGGCACAAGCATGTAGAAAAACTATTTGTGAGGCTGTTTTGGACATACAGATGTTAGAATAAGCATCTATGTATGACCATTTTTTTTCTAGGAATAGTAGCAGAGGCTTTCAACTGTAGTTGGATTTGCTCAGAACTTGAGAAAATTACAACTTTTGAAAAACAACTCCTCAAACCCACAAATGGGCATACTCATTCTGAGAACTGTAGTCTGAAAGTATAACTTTTCATAAGCTCTGAATTAGCAGATGCTGGCATTGAAGTCTGACTATAAATATTGCAATCTGATTTAGAAGCCCTTTCCCCAAGTCTCTGATGTGTGGGGACTCTTGTTATCAAGTAATGAGGAAATGCACTCTGCACTTGCTCTGGGGTTAATTAAATTATTTTACTTCATAGAATCAAGGGTTGAGCTCTGGCATTGGAAAAAATCTTAGGGGCTCAAATGCAATGAGCTTTGTAAAAAAAAACCCAAACCATGGTTTATCTTTCTTAAAAACAAGTGTATGCATTTACAAGCATAATCAATGAATCACTAATCTCTTTTTAAACTGGTCAACAGATTATTCAGAACAGACTGCAAATTTATTTATTTATTTATAGCATTTCTGTCCCCTGTATTTGTATTGTCTGTGGGTGATTTACAATGAAATCATTTGTAGAAGTACAACAACATATAATACTCATTAACAAAAGAGATTTTACAGTGGGCAAGCAGAGTTTGCAGAATGAAATTTGTGTAATTATTTCAGAATATTTCAAGGTAGACCAAGAACTTGTGCTTAGTTTTTCCACTATGAGAGAGAGAATTCAGCTTTATAGATTTCATAGTTAACAGTGCCACCTACATCTCAAAATGTTGCAACTGATGTTCACATTATTACTAAGAAGCAAAGATAACTATGAATTCCCTTATTATCAAATCAAATCAAATCAAATCATTTATTTCGGTCATTGACCAGCACAGGAAATAGTCACATTTTCATACAAACTTGGTATGTTTGGTACATTAAAAATATAAATATAACTACTGAAGCACAATATGGGTGAGGGAGCAGAAGGGAAGGGGAAACTGGGTATTATATTTATGCACTTTGCACTGGCTCAAGCCGAGCACATATAAAATTAATGGCATTACTTAGCACGTACGGAAGTAAGTGAGAATCTCTAATGAGTTGCACTTTGGAAAATATTCTATATAGACACTTTCTAACACATTCTTCCATATATATATATTTACTCAAAGATTTTTAATTCTGGTTAATCAACATTAAGGATATATTCTGACAAACAATTTTATGGGGGTCCACTGCTAGATCATGTGCAAGGAAAAACAAAACAAAAAAGGTTGTGTTGACATTTCCCATTGAAGTATTGTCTCACCTCTCTTCTTTTTGGATAATACTATTAAAATTAATCATGAAATGAAATGTAGCAAGAACACAAGTCTGAACCAAGCTTTAAATGAATTGCAATATGATTTTTTTCATGTCAGGAGTGACTTGAGAAACTCCAAGTCATTTTTGGTGTGAGAGAATTGGCTGTCTGCAAGGATGTTGCTCAGGGGATGCCCAGATGTTTTGATGTTTTACCATCCTTGTGGGAGGCTTCTCTCATGTTCCCACATGGAGACCAGGAGCTGACAGGGGGAGCTCATCCGCGCTCTCTCTGGATTCGAACCTCCGACCTGTCAGTCTTCAGTCCTACCGGCACAAGGGTTTAACCCATTGTGTAACCGGGGGCTCCATTGCAATATGATGAAGTATGCCAAGAGCAAAGGGTAAGCCAGAACATGGAACAGAACATACCAGCTTGGTAGATAAGCAGAACACAAAAAAATGTCAAGATACTCTAAACCAAGCTATGATCCTCCAGGTGTTTTGCACTTCAACTCTCCAGCGAGCTTGCCCAATGGACAAAAATTCTGGGACCTAAGCTCCAAACACATGGAGGACCAAAGGTTCAAAACCCCTGCTCTAAACAACTGTGACCTACAACAATATAACATGGAACCAATCAAAAGACAAGTGACCCTGGACATCAAAATGGAATCCAGCTTCTAGTGAAGTTCAACTTATAGTAGCTTATCAGAAAAAAAGACCTTGAAATCCATTTTCCAATAACAGTGAAAAGGGCAAATTCTCTAGTGGAGATCATTAGGAAGTGGATGGAAGATACAAAAACTCCAACACAGTAGCTGCCAGTTGACACTGGCCTTGAGGCCATATAGAATCATGCCTTCCCAGCCAACCCTTCCCATAAACTAAATGCTATCACTTTCTTTAAACAGTTTTAATGACTTTAGCTTAGGATGACAAAGGCTGGAAATAAATGGGGGAAAAAACTACTCCTAGAATGGGGTAGAATCTTAGAATTGGAAGAGGCCAGAAGGGCCATACAGTCATCCTCCTACAATGCAGGAACCCAAAACCAAAGCACAGATAGCCACCCAGCCTCTGCTTAAAAACCTCCAAAGAGGTTTTGACACACTCAGAGGCAGCATATTCTACTATCAAACAGCCCTATCCATAAGGAAGTTTGAAAGAATAGATAGTAAATCAATTCATCAGAAATAATTTTGTTCATAAATCTTTACATTACTAAAATGTTTAATCTGTATTATTAATATATTTGAATGAAAACACACTGTTTATGACTAATCATCACCCTAAGAATTTTTTTAGTCCCCTTTGGACTTTGTGATTAGCAAAAGCTTAAGGTACATAATAAAACTTTCATTATCTCCCACACAAGCTTGAATGGATCAAAATAATTGTGTAGGAGGTATCTTCGCTTGAAGTAAATCTATACTGTCCACTTAGGTCAGTGTGATCAGCCCCAAAGTGCAGCTTAATGTGAGGAAAGGCCACCCTAATATAGGGCGCTACTTAGGATTTGGCATTACTTGGCTTCTGCTACTTCCAAAGTGACTGAGGGTGTTTCTACTGGGTCGCCAAAAGTATTCAGCCCAATGTCCAGGACACCAGATTGAGCCCCTTTTGTGGTCAGTGTAGAACTTCCCTTGATACCAAATGTTTTGCAATATATTGCTTATTTTTTTCATTATTCTAACCCCCAGAGTCCCAGGCCCTCAAGAAGGGTCCCCATACCCCTTTCTCCGCCCTGACTATTGACATCATAGTATCTTTGCACAAATCTGTGGTTCAGCCATACTTGGGAATACGGTTTACAGTTCTGCTCAACATACTTCAAAATGATTATTAAGAAGGTGAACTTTTTTTAAAAAAAGACTCCAGGACAAGAGCAACTTCCATGTGAGCAAAGATGTACAAAAATGAACCCAAATATGGGGATGGGGGGGACACCCCTTGTATACATATTGTCAAAAAAAACCCATAATAAGTTTGCTTCAGGGTTACAGTAAGTCGGAAATGAGTTGAAGGCCTATAGCAACAACAAAAAGCCCACTTTATGGAGTTAAATCCCTAAAGCAAAAGGAAAAACTGAAAATCTCTTGCTCTTATCAAAGGTGATGACAACAAACTTTGCATCATTGAAATTTTTCATTTTTTAAAATAAAAAATCAGAATCACTCAGCCTTCTTGATTAACTAGCATCAGTTCATCAGCAACCAATTATTGTTCCCCTTCTTTAACTTTCTAATTTTGATCAACTCAGAATTTTGGAGTTATCCCTGGCTCACTTCTGGTACTGGTTACTGATGCGTGAAAGGATGCATACATGTATTGGTTAAAAAACACAAAGAAACTCTGGTGCAAAAAATATGATGGAATATTATCAGGAGTTCAAGGATTACCATCTAGGAAATGAACAAAAACATAATACTATAATATATCTTTCAAAAATGAGGTTGCTTGTTTTTTGTCAACTATATTTATGTATGATACTGGTTTCCAGAATTTTAAGAACCCATGCTGTTTAGATAGTTTTTGCCAATTTGCATATATATCCATACATAATAACATCAAGTAAGTATCCTTTTTATAAAATCCACAAATAGAAATGATAGCAAACAATCCATGTGTCAGTTCTGAAATTAAGGTGTTTTTTCTTCTTCAAATTAAATGAAAAGCAGACAGAATGGAATACAGAGCAAAGCCACCTAATGAACCAGAGAAATGGTAGGAGGTTGCAACTGGTAGCACATTAAGTCTTTTCCAGTCCTGTATTTTTATGATTTTGGATTTCACCATCCATGTATGTATGAATCTATGGATACATAAACTGACAATATGCCCCCTTGCTCTTGTAATCCTTTGACATTTTCAATAAAAACCAATGTAGATTTCTTGATTTAAAAAAATAATTGCAAGTTTTGCTTATAGATCTATTTAGAAACAGATCCCATAAAATGTTTACAGCAAAAATGTCACTTTAAAAAAGAAGTATCAAAATATATTTTTTAAAATGTAAATGAAAAGATAAAAGCAAGTAATAATAATAATAATAATAATAATAATAACACTTTATTTGTATCCCGCTACCATCTCCCCAAGGGACTCAGTGC